GGGACTTTTTTCTGTTTAAGCATGCATGGGATTTTGCCCTTAATGAGTATAATGGAAAATGGATAACATTATTTGAAACAGGGTTTCTTTGCCTAGATTTTGGACGTTCTGAAAAAGATGTTGAGGAGAGTATGCACACCTCTGGGTATAATACGTTGTTGTTGTTGTTGTTGTTTGCATCAAGTCATCTCCAGCTTATGATGACTGTGAATAAAAGCCTTCCGGTATGTCCTGTCCATTACAGTTCCATTCAGTTCTTCCAAATTCCTTTATGGACTCAGTCCATCTCATTTTTGGTCTTCCCTTTTGTCTGTTGCCTTCAACTTTCTCTAACATGATTGTCCTCCCCAATGAGCCTTTCCATCTGAAGCATGACAAATGCTGCTGTGACTTTTGCTTCTAGCAAAGACTCTGGCTGGATTTGCTTTATGATCCACTGTCGCTTTGTCAGTCCAGGGTATTTTCAAAGCTCTCTCCAGCACCATTGTTTGAATGCATCCATTTTCTTCCTGTCAGCTTTCTTCACTGTCCAGCTTTTACACCCATACATTGTGACTGGGAATACAATAGTTTGGATGACCTTGAACTTTGTAAAATGTCCTTACACTAACTCTTTTCTCATTCTGTCATTGCTGCCCTTTCATGGTCCTAATACATAGTAACCCATCTAAAATTATTTTTTCCATGGAAATCAAGTGCCGTGCCTCTAGCATTGGAGTCAGTACAGTTCTTGTTATGGATATGTATCCATGGTTACAGATGTTTTGTAGAAACTGGTCCTCCCAGCAAACTTATTTTAGAGCAGTTTCAGCCTTTTGAATGACACCAAATGTCTCAGGAACCAAGATGATGAAACTAGAAAAACACCAAGGGAAAATGCTAGGCATGCTTACTTAGCAGCAAGTTAAATTATTAAAAATACAGTCTACCTCAGAGTAAATAAGAATTAAAAGTAGAATCAATTTGAAATGTTTACGAGCACCCCATGGAAGCTGCTTCCACTTGACCTGTGTACAGCAAATTTCTATCGAATGAAGCTCTGTTATTGCACAATTGAATACAGCTGGTTGCCATTGCAAACCACTTTTGCAGTGCAGACTGTGGGAAGGGGAGCTTTCCGTCTATTGCTAGCTCCAGGTTTTTAAGGGTCTTAGAGGAAGACCCACTCTGTGGCTCCCTTCCCTCACTGGGTCTGCCTTCTCATTACTCTTGTCACCAGCTGCAAGTGATCCTTTTCTTCTTTCCCATCAGCACTACTGTCCCACTGGCATTGGCTGGGCCAGAGCAAGAAGCAGAAGAACAGCTGATGACAAGGGCAAAGCAGAGGTGCCAGTATTCTAACTTGGCTTGTGTCTTTAGCTATTGCCTTCTGCAATGCTCCTCTTTTGCATCACAGAGCCAGCCTAACTGGTTAGTTTTAACATAACATAGACTTCATCCTGATCTACTTGGAAGTAGGGGGAAAAGACTGACCACAACAGTGTCGTGGTTAGAATGTTGAACTGGGACCCGTGAGATCCAGGTTCTGGACCTCGCTTTGGCTCTGAAGCTCGCTGGGTGACTTTGGGACAATCATGAAAGCTCAGTCTAACTACCTCAAAGGCTTGTTGTGTGGTTAAAATGGAGAGGAGGAAGATGATAAAAGCTGCTTTGATTCCTTACAACAGGAAAATGGGAAGATAGAAATGTCGTTGTGGTTATGTGCTATCAAGTCATCTCCAATGTATGCTGATCCCATGAATGAAGCCCTCCAAAATCTCTTATCCATGACAGGCCTGCTCAGCACTTAAACATTCCAGGCTGTGGCTTCCTTTACAGAGTCAATCCATCTCATATCCCCTCCTTCTTCTGCCTTCGACTTTCCCTAGCATGATGGCCTTCTGCAGGGAGTTCTGTCTTCCCTTGATGTGCCCAAAATATGACATCCACAGTTGAGTCATGCTTGCGTCTAGGGAAAGCTCTGGCTTGGAAGATATACATCTAATGCAATACTCAGCAGGATGTGACTTAGAGGAAGAGATAACTGCTGCGCCCTTGCCTTTCTGCCCTTGCCTTTCTGTCCGTTGGCGTTGCTCCCCATCACCATCTGCAGATTTTGGAGCTCTCAGTGTTGAGATGCGGCTCAATGTTATAAACAACCCTCAGGCTCAGGAGCAATAAAACTAAAGTCTAGTCTTTTATTGCTACTTATCTACAAGATTTACAACTCTACAGATAAGCTCTACTGTTGAGGTCTTTGCAATGCAGATGCTAATCCTTCTCTCTTGGCCCCGTCTGTCTTTCCTCTCTGATGCGTAACAAGGCTTGCCTTTGTTCCCACCTCCTCAGAATTCTCTGATTGGTTGCTAGGGAAAAGTCTATCACGCCCCTTTCATCTCCTGTGTCCTGCCCAGGAAGCTCAGCGTCAGGAGTGGGTGGGGCCGTCTGCTCACACTCTCTCTGAGCAGAACTCATAGTGCCTTTTTCCTCGGGGCTCTCGTGCTTTGATGTAGGCTCGGGTGTTTGCTCAGTGGGTGGAGGGTCAGGATGAGGTACAGCTAACTGCTCAGCCACCCCCAAGCTAGGTTGTGGGGTTGACATTCGGGTACAGGGTCCCAAGCCCAAGACCTCCTTGTGAGGTGCTGCCTCTGTTGGGGCTTCAGGCATGACACTCAGTCCAATCTGGAAAGCATCCATCCTACACAAGTACAGCAGACAGTTATCTTCAGACTTTCACCTACCTTGTGGATGTCAGGGAGAATAGGGTTTACAGGTGACCCACTGGAATCCCTAGGAGCAGTGGACCTGGTGGTGGTCTTTTTCTTCATGCCATGTGAAGGGACTGGAGGAAACTGCGTGAACAGGGCTAATCCCACATTGTGGCAATATACTTTTGGTATATTGTGTGTGTGGGGACTTCGTTGTTGTTGCTTGGAGGAACATTAATCAAGCCCCCTACACCTGCAGACATAACCTGAATGATGTAGATCAAACTCAAGCTTACACCTCCGCCATAAATTAAAGTTTCTAATCAAAAGAAAGGGCACAAGCTGGCCAATGGCCTCATGGGGTGGCCCACCTAAAGTCCAGGAAAACCCGCACCCCTCTCAGCAGAACAGCAGGTCTGTCCAAACCCCTTCGCTCCCTTTCTCATCTTGACAACGTTGCATATTACTGTGATTACGAAGCCTTTCATGAAAAGCAGTGATCGCGGAAGTGCTCGAGATACACTGCATTGGTTAGGGTTTCTGCTTTATTGGATTGTTTGCTTCCAATTATTAATTTAATTTCTATACCACCCATAGCTGAAGCTCTCTTTAATCCTGAAGACAATCAAGCTTGGTGCAGGCCTTGGATTTTTGGTGCAGGCCTTGGATTTTTGCATTATATACTAAGCTGGACGCCTGTCAGGCAGTGGTTCTCCAGAACCTCACACAAATCTGCTACCCAACATCCATTTAACTGGACATACCAAGGATTAAACGCTGAGGTCATCCCCATCCGTGGGTCTGGTGTGCCCCACAGCCATTGTGGCTCCTCTCCAGAACTACTTTCACATAGGACAGAAGTTAGAGAGAGGTTCTCTCAGTGTATGTTCTGCATGCACACACGTCTTAACTAAAGGTCATTGCACGATCAGCTAGTAGCTTGTCTGGAGGCACAGCTAATATGCAAGAGCAAATCAACAGTGTGTTGCAAGAGAACGTTGGGAAAGCATTCCTGAAGCTTAAGCCAAAGATGGGCTCTGTCTGCTGGTGTCTTTCTGTAAAACCAGGCTAAAGACAAACTCACTGGCTTTAGAATAATTTGTGTCCTTTAGGGGATTTCTTTCTCCCATTACCCCCACCCCACCCCCGGTGTTCATTCATAAGATCTAAGTGGGCAAAAAAACAAAAAACCCCACCCTTCATTTTGACAATGCTTATGTCAAATCTTGCATCTCACTGGTTTATATCAGCTTTCTGCAACCTGAGGCCTTCCAGATGTTTTGGACTATGCCTCCAAGGCTTCTGATTTCTCTCCAAAAGCAAACTTGCTTAATAGTCAAACAAGATGGTACACTAATGATGTGGCATGTAGCTGGGGCTTATCTTTTCTTTTACTCATGTGTAAGGACACTTGGTCCTTATTTGGACAGGGAGGTTTAATGTTTCCATGCATCATTTTGTGTCCCAACTCTCACTCTCTCCCCCTATCTCTGCACAGGGGGCTAGAGAGAGAGAGATTTTTCTGTTGGAGTTGATACTTTCCCCTTCTTTTAATGCACCCACCATGTGGGGAAGGAATTTGGAGGGGAATGAATGAGGGGGGAGCATTCTTTTTTCATGAAATACTATTTTGAAATGCAGTCAACAAAATAAAAGCAGCAAAAAGAGCACACTTAATAAATCAAGGTTCCCAAGTGAAACAAAGGAATTCACTCATTATAATTCTTGGTCTCTAACAGGTATGCTTATTGAAGATTTTCAGTAAAATGGCCAGACCAAAAGCTTAACAACCACTGAAAGAGTAAAAATAGAAGTGGTACAATGTACAAAAGAGCTGCGCCAAGTGTGTGTTACTTTGTCTGCATAAGTAAAAAAAATAATAATAATGTGCTTGCCGGTAATTTGATCAAAATGTTTGAGGAACTTCAGCATAGGAAATAAAAGGAAACCACGGTACCGTAATACCTTTTTAAAGCTGGCATTCTTGCTGTACTTGCCGAATGAGTCATAGCTTCCCAAATTTTATGAATCCACTGCTTCTTTAGTTATTTGCTTGGGAGACACCCAATTCTGAGCTATCCATGGTACTGATCCTAGTTGGGCTTGGAGTTCAGCGCCATGGGTAGCTCCTAGAAAGGCCAAAATGAAAGCTGCAGTGGGTGAACTGTTCCACTGGCTTTAGTCCCTTCTAAGTAGGACTAAATCCTGGGTCATGTTATGATAACAAAGAAATGTCTCATTAAGGTACTTAATTTCATCCCAGATGAAATCTCTTGCCTCTAATTCCCTTGCATTATTGCCTTTTTCCACCAGATGAACGAGAGGCAGTCCAGAAAAAGACATTCACTAAGTGGGTTAATTCTCACCTGGCACGTGTATCCTGCAGAATCACAGACTTGTACACCGACCTTCGCGATGGGCGGATGCTTATCAAACTGTTGGAAGTTCTTTCTGGAGAAAGGCTTGTAAGTTTCTTTTCCAAATAGTCCATGTGCTGTCCCAGTTCTGTGAGAGCCTAACCTGGCTGCAGTCTTTTAAAAAAAATAAAATGAAATCAAAGCCATGGGTAACACTCATGAAATGTCTGATGTGGTTATGAAATGAAGTAAAGTTTGAAGCTACTCGATTTTAGAGAGCTATATTTGTTCAACATGATTGTGAAATGCAAATTTTCCTTATTCTTCTGTTTCTGCTATTATGTTAAGTGAACCTTTTTCAGTAGTTTATGAGCTTGGGCCAAGGGGGAAGGCAGCTTGTACAGAATGAACATCTACAAGTTAAATTTTAAGAAACTGAATACCTGGAAAATGAGGGAAAAAGTATCTTGAAGTGCTATTAACCTACACCACCACCATTTTTAGGTGACAATCTTGTACCTGTTTAAACAGCCTGACTGGAGTATGCTGGGAGTTATAGACTTTTTTTGTCTTGGCATGCATAGGATTTTCTTGTAAACAATCTTGAGGTTTTTAAAATAAAAGACAGCATCGAAAATAAATAAAAGGATTGAACCTTGAATGTGTAACATTTTTATTGTATTGGATTGCCAGAAGCTGATGGAGAGGTAGGAAATTTGGTTTAAAATGGCAGTGATTCTTGATCTTTGTTTCTGTCAAAAGAATGATTTAAAAAATGAAATAAAAACCAGTGTGCCAAAGTATATTTTGAGAAACAGACAGCAATTCCCGTATAAATTAGCCATCTGAACGCATAGCCTTCCTTTCCCACCGTTCATCATGAATACCCAGGAATAATTATACGAACTAGAAGAGATAGGTGATGTTTATTGCCATGGCATCCTGCTGACATATGCTGCCAAACACCATTTAAAGGGGCACCACCATTCTTTCCTTGATCTCCCTTTTTCCTTGGAAAAAAGTCAACTTTTTTCAGTTTAGGTGTCAAAGTACATTTTGTTTAGCCCTGTAACACCTCATATGAAAAGTTTCAACCCTGCAGGGTTATGTTCCATGTGAGCAAAATTGTCAGTCCCAATTTTTTTCACCACTCAAAATGATACTGGTTGTAAGCTTCATTTTTATTTCATTTTTATACTGATTCATAGCCTGGGCTTCCTGCACAGGGTACAGATTCAGTTGCAGACTGGCCCCTGATTGAGACAAGGGATTATATGAGTCTAACTTAAGCCCAACTCAGTTTGTTAGGTCCAAATAGGAATACCATTGCATAGAAACCAAAATGGTGGACTAGAGGAATCTTCCAGTGTTAGCCAGAAGGGTTCTTGAATACACACTAGCACTCTGTGCACGTGGAAAAGGGATTGATTTCTCTGTAAGGGAAACAAACGGCAGAACTACCCAAAAGTATGCCTTACGCTTTTCCAACCTTCAACGGGTTCAGCAGTGTTCTTTCTCCAGTGCTGTCCTACCTCAGCGGTGAGAATCCAAGGCCTAGCAAAGTGTTTAGGTACCGCTCAGCCCATTTGGCAGCATTTCTGGGCTTGCAGCTGTACCCCGTGCTTGAGAAAAGGTGGGGCTTGCCCCAGGGCCACACCTATATTTGGCAGAAGACAACAGCTTACAGAGCTCCATTTTATCCTCACAACAACCCTGTGAGGTAGGTTAGCTTGATTGTCACACAGCGAGCTCCTTGGCTGAGTGGGGATTAAAACCCAGATCTCCCAGTAACTCCAGTCCAGCCCTGTATGTATGTATGTATTAAAAGCTTTTGTATACCATCCTATTATACAAAAATCTCAGGATGGCTTACAATATTTAAAAGGACAATTAAAACAACCATTTCTAATAAACAATAGAAACAGAACAAAACAATAAATCACAAAACAGAGCAACTGAAAGTTAAAAGTTGTTAAATTTTAAAGTACTGTTTAAATAAAAAGGTTTTGGCCTGGCGCTGAAAAGAGTATAAACTTGGCTCCAGGCGTACCTCTCTGGGAAGTACATTCCAGAGTCTGGGCGCCACAGCAGAGAAGGGGCACCACCTACTCCGAGCTGATGACCTTTTTACCTCTCTTAGAGATGGTTCCCAGAGCAGGACTTCTCCCACAGATGTTAGGGGCATGAGGGCATATAAGGAAGGAGACGTTCCTTCAGGTATCCTGGTCCCAAGCCATTTAGAGCTTTATAGGTCAAAACCAGCACCTTGAATTGGGCCCAGACTTCAACTGGAAGCCAGTGGAGCTGGTAGAGGACCGGCGTTATGTGAGAGTAACGGTCGGTCCCCATCAGCAGCCTGGCAGCTCTATTCTGTACCAGTTGCAATATCCAGACCGTTTTCAAGGGCAGCCCCACATAGAGCGTGTTGCGGTAACCCAAGTGGGAAGTTACCAGAGCATGTATCACTGTTGCCAGGGACTGCTCATCCAGGTAAGGACGCAGCTGAAGTATCACAGCGACTCTGTTGCATCTGCTGCCCTTTCTGCCTTGTGAGCCAAAGAAAACAACATCGCGGGAGGCGCTGAAACACCACCCCTAGTCACCTGCTTTTATTTCACTTAGAATCATTCTGTCAACAGTTTGTTAATGTGTTTGACTGTCCTGAGCAATCCATGTATGAGACTTCTAGGCACGTGGAAGCTTAATTTAGCAGATATTTCTTAGCCTGGTTGCCACCTCTTCAGAATTGAACATAAGTTGAGAAATCTGTGTTTAAAGAGCACATTCAAGCAAGTCTGCCACTACAAACAAACATTGATCAAGATAAGGTGGTTTGCAAAAACCTCCAGATAATTACACACACATTCCAAAGTACAATAGCTGGATTGGTTTTCAAATCCCATTTGCGATGCCTCTCTTGTGTATGTTTTTTCTTTGTACATACTAATATTTATTTTGAACTAAATGCAGAACCCAGTGCCATGCTACACAGAATTATCGTGTCTGAAGCCAAGGGTGTTCTTCAGGCTGTTAAAATCCAGAGTTTAGATAAGCCTGAGCTCAGGGCTGTTTCTATGCTTCATTTTCCTGTTTATTTTTTTGACAATATGTACAAGGAGGCAGCCACAAAATGACTGGCTTAGCCTTTGTGCCCTCAGAATGACAGAATTGGGAAAGATTCCAGAACTGCAGTTGTAGTTCACAACTTAAGTGGTCCTACTGGGGTGGGCAGACAATAGATCTTCAAATAGTTTGGACTTGAAATCCAACAGTTAAATGGTGGGAGTTTAAAGTCATAGAGAAGTCCCTGCTAGCAAGGCCAAAACATCTGGAGACCCACCTTCTACATAAGTGATGTTCCTGTTATATGATTCTCCCACATCTCCTTAAAGGTCTTGTGATACCTTAAAGACTGTTGTACGATCTTGTCTGTGACAGCTTATGTCACAACATGAGAAGTCAAACAGGAAATACAGCATTACAGGTGCCTTAAATATGGACTCTTGGATTCATTACTGGTGAGAGAAATATAGATTCCCAAAGGCAGTGTTTAGATATGCATTTTAAAAAAATATTTTCTATTTTCAGAAAGTACAGTAAAAAGAAGTATATAGAAAAAAAGGTGCCAAGGGTCATTCCAGGAAGTTGGCATCCTGCATCATTTAAACACGTTTATAATAAAACTCTATCCTACCTTCTCATCCAGACTTAATCAGAAATTTATCCAGGTGATAAGATTACAATTCTAAACCAAAGCAATCCAACATTTGTGAGAATTACATTTTAACAATTATTCACATTCCTATGCATTGTTTATGGGTGATCTATTTACTGTGTGACAGGTTGAGTACAGTTCATCTTTATTATTTCTGAAAGCCTTTTCATGACAGTCCTTTTTACTTGTCTATGAGAACAGAAGACAGTGTAGCTTGAAACTGTCATTTTAGCAGAGTATTAGCAGGAATACATTTAAGTCAAGAAAACAGCCCCTAAAGGTCTGCTGGCCATGTAACCTAAAGGTCACAACAATGTATTGTTTTCTTTCTTCCAAGGTAGAAGAGGATCCAGCCATCAGGCTATAACATTTTGGGTGCCCTGCATTCCTGAGCAGAAGCACAACACACATACACACAATTATATAAAAGTGCTCTTTGGCTGTTCAGTCCTTTAACAATAATTTCTTTATGATTTCTGAAAGACCAAAGGTCAGCTCATATAAACAGATTTTCTCTGGTGACATCTTGCCCTTTGCCGCACTAAGGGGGGGCGATTAGAAGGAATTAAGGCTGCCTTGCTTATGTGTGCCATGCGCATAACTGACATTCTTAAGCAAACAGGAAAACTGTGAATAAGGAAGCCAGATCACATTCCTCACTATCCAGCCTCCTAGTCCAACTTCTGTGGTTTAGTAGTTTCATTTAAAGGATTGGAAGAGGAGGAAATGTGTTTATTATTATTTAAATCTGTGAGCCAATCTTTGCAAGCTTGTGGAGCAAGTCATTATTAACCCAATAACCAAGCAAGGAGTTGAATCTTAGCCTTCCAGGTTCCAGCCCAACCTGCTGTCTGTCCCTGGATCTCCAGTTTCAGAACCAACCTGTGCATTAAGAGACATTGCTTCCCATAACAGTTTCAACAGAGCATGATGGGTCTGGCAGAGGAAGCAAAGCACCCACTGCCTCTTCTGCCATCCTGCATACTCGCCTACATCGATTTCCTAGTCACCCATGGTGACCAGCTAACTTTTCAAACACACAGCTGCGTGAATGACTATGTAAAATACAGTTTCTTGAACTACCTCAGGGACTTCCTCCTCATCAACAACTCTACCACAGAAGCCTCACACATTTTAGAAGATACTGGAATGCATCTGAGGAGACCAATTTGTTTTTCCTGAGTACTGGCCAGACTTGCTGGTCTGTGTTGCCACACTAGAATGTCTTTTTAAAGTAAGGCCCAACACTCCCCCATCTGTTCACTGCAGAGGAGAGACGGTTGGGGTGGTCAAAATGTATTTTGAGGGATAGCTGGTCTGTCATAACTGATGGCTTTGTATGATTTCAAGGAGCTTAGCTCAGTAACTGCGCCATTTTGACAAGCAGTTTGTA